CAAAATCGCCCCACCTTAGCTTTCGAATGAATTAGAGAAGACATTGTTCGATAATTAGCCTTTAACTGATTTAAATTAGTCTTCTGATTGTGAAACCGCACCACATTAATGTGCTTATCACAGTGTGGTGTGTGCTATTAGGCTGCAGTCTCCCTCTGACCGAGTCGTGGTGCCTTTTTCATATAGCATCCTATTTTTTTCTACCACATCGTGGTACCCATAGACTACGTCGCGGTGCAAAGTACATTGCCATCGACATATGATGAAACTTCATCCAAATCACCTCTTCACAAACCGCACCATGACAAGGTTCTTTTCAATTCGTGGTAACTGCATACTAGTGGCTCCCTAGCTGATTCCATTCTAGATTTGGGACAATTTTCTCCAATCTTCTAACACTCATATTTTCTTCATTTTAAACTCGTTTTCAATGATCTTTATATCCATGTGAAGGTGGGTATGAGTTCTACATCTCCATTAAGTCACTTCTCATAGACTACATACGAGTCTTAATCTATTAAGTCACAAACTTGGACCAAAAGCATAAAAAGTTCCCATTTTACCCTATGTGGACGAAATGCACCATCTATTGTATTTCTTCTCTTGAACCCACTTATCTCATCTTATAAATTGACATAGACTTATCTTGACTCATTTTATGAAGTTACATCTTCTGAGTTCATGAAATTGCTCTTAAATGACTAAATTTGCATTTTGGTCAATTATTCACCCAAAGTTAAATACCTCTAAATTTTGGGTTCTTACACTATCTCCTTACGAAAAAAGACAACACTTTTAGGAAAAAAAAGGTAATACTCAAAGCATTACCGTCTAAACTAATCATAAGCTCTGAAAAAAAATGAATAACATGATCACCCAATCAACGACTCCGATCTTTGACGGATCTGTCGTCATTGTCTCTCGTACGGACTGACCATGATCTATGACTATAAAAGGTCTCCGTCGTACACTAGAAATGAATAAGTTCATTCTCACTAATACTCTCTACATATCTTCTCTCACAAGTCTCTAAGTTGACCATCAAAGTGTTTGCCCAAGATCCTCTCACGGAGAACGATTGAAGTCTTCCTCTCTTGTGTGATTTCAGATCATCATTGTAGCAGTTGTGTTGAGGATCTTCCAGATATCGATATCAAATCATATATATATATATATATATATATATATATATATATATATATATATATATATATATATATATATATAAACATGATCGGGTGAGGAGTCTTTTTAAAGTGATGACTCGTGAGGATACCTTAAAAAATTGAAAAAAATTACAAATCATAAAATTGAACATAGTACTACATCGAAGAGAAAAAATAGAAAAAAGAAATTTAGATCATTAAATTTGAAGCATGGATCATTTTTATGATCCATTATTCAACTTTTATGATCCATGATTCAATTTTAATGATGCAAAAAAAAAATCCTAATTTTTTTTCTCCCGGACATAGTACTATACTCGATTTTATGATTTGTATTTTTTTTAGATTTTTTTTCAATTTTTTAAGATGTCCTCATGAGTTCTCACCGAAAAGAGAGTCATAACTGGAACCGGAACCGGACCCTATATATATATATATCTATATATATATATATATATATATATATATATATATATATATATATATATATATATATATATATATATATATATCCAAACTAAATTGATGTCAATCAAAAGTAAATTTATATATTTGGGTTTGCTAATTTCGGATATGTTTTCTACTTAATTTTCAATTTAGGAAAACTATTCCCGACATCTTATTTAGAAAAATAATGGTTAGGCACTCTCGTTCAACCTAAGCTCAGAAAGTAACATAAAGAGAAAGAAGTTACCTTTTTGTAGATGCAAGTGTGATAGTATATTTTAAATAGTTCCATGTAACTTCTAGTCAACTTTATGATAGTATCGGTAAATAAAATTCATTCCCGAAGTGGTGGAGTCGACATAAGTATCTCTTCAGTTCTTTTCATTGACTTAATAACTTCTTATATATATTTAGACATTATAATCTAAAGCATTGTCATATGATAAACCACTAACTTTTTATGTTCCTCGGCATTGAGATCGTTAATAAGACTTTGATGTCTTACAATAGCTCTCGTACATTTTTAAAATCATAAATGAAGACCAACGCATTGTTGTCAACAAGACTCCATTGTTTGTCCTCCCTTCATTTCACTTTAGATGCTAATAATGGATTTGACACAACAGTGGATTTTTCTAAATTTGAAAAACCACTACAATTTTAAAAAGTATATGATTCAAAATCAAATTACTATATAAGAAGTTTAGTAGTTCGTAGAGATATAAAAATCGTATAACATGCAAGAGTACTCTAAAATAAGTTTTAACAATGCTTAACCCAATATCATATTTGGGAGTTCTATCTATTTTCAATTTTGACTTTTAACACCCTTTGTGACATCCTTACTTTTAGCTTTGGAGTTGATGGATTGGATTTTGTTGGGTTGTGCTATAAGTACCCCTTAACCGATTTTATATAGCCATTTGAATTTATAATGTCGTCAGAATATTAAAATTTTGTGCGAAATTTATAATAATAATAATAATAATAATAATAATAATAATAATAATAATCAAAATATAATAATAATAATAATAATAATAATTAAAAACAACAAAAAAACAAAATAGAATAAAAAAAACAAAAAAAATAATAAAAGACAAAAAAATCAAATAAGACGGTGAAATTGGAAAAGAAAAAGGGTACTTATAGATAAGTAACCCATTTTGTTTTAGATAAGTAACCCATTTGTTTTGTTTCCCAACGAGTACTTCTTCGTGCACTTCGTACAGAAAAAGTTGCTTATGATATAATTCAACCCCATTAATTTGTGGATATAACATCACTTACATGAGGCGACTTTAATTATAACGATTTCAGGAGGTGAGTTATTATTTATGCATATATATATAACCTATTTTTTCTAAACAACATCCATGCATGGTATTTATTTGCACCATCAGAACCTTCATTATGTAATTGGTTGAAATTCATGTTTCAGGATATTATTTTGATTTGAGATTGCTTTGGCAAACCTGTTGTATAAAAATCATTGATATGTATATAAAAATAATACTTAACAATAAAACAAACTACACCTACTAATCCTAAATATACATACTAATCCTAAATATACATACAGGGACGGCTCAATCAGTTTGGGGCTCAAAGTGACCCAAAAATTTCGGGTCCTTCGATATTTAGTATAGTTAATGTTATAAACTCTCCTCCTTTATTCGGGCTTGGGACCGGCAATAATAAACTAAAAAGTTTATAAATGGCGAAGTTAAATTATTATTATTATTATTATTATGTATATGTTTTTTTATGAATATATTAAATACATAAAGTTAATTTTTCTAGCCTTTTTAGATGCAAATTCTTTAATAAAATTTTCATAATCAATTTTCTTTTAATAACTGTTTTTCAATTGACAAAATAGTCAATCCATTTAATCTTTCTTGTGACATTGTAGATCTTAAATAATTTTTTAACAATTTTAATTTAGAAAAACTTCTTTCCACAGAGGAAACAGTTACATGAATGGTTAACATAATTCTATAGGCAACATATGCATTTGAAAAAGAACTAAATTTTTTAATGTAATTAAGTATATTAATAATTGTATCACGTTCTAAATGTACAATATGTCTTAAAAGTTTTAGTGCATGAAATAAATCTAAACCATCAATATCTAAGCGATCATCATGCTTTAATGATTTTTCAAGATTTAAACAATGTTTTTTTAAAGTATTTTCATCAAATGATTTTAATTTTTTTATACTAAATAGAAAACCAAAAATATTTTTGAACTCATTTAATTGCTCAAATCTACTTTTAAGTGAAATAATAGTTTTATCTACTATAGATAAAAAGTAATCAGTTTAAAATAATTGAAGAGGAGTTTTAATAGTTTCATTAGCAACATTTTCATCATATCGTTTATTTCTTTGAATGATACGTTTTTCACGAAATTTCGGTTTTACTATCATTTCTAAAGCCAATTCTTTTGCATAATCTAAAGCTTTTTTAAAATCCGTTTTCTCTATATTGTTCAAAGAAACACAAAAGTCCATTTAGTTGATCTATAGCATCATCGATACACATATCATTTGATTGAAAGCTTTTACTAATAGTGTTAATAGCAAACAAAACATCATACCAAATAATCATTCCTAATAAAATTCATAGTTTTCAACTTCATATGTAGCTAAACATTTAGCCTCACTTTTAATTTTTGAATCTCCACAATTTTTTGGATAATTGTAAAAGTACATTTCTTAATTGTAAAAGTGAATTTCTTCATTGTGGTGCATTTCTTAATTGTGGTGCATTTCTTATTAGTTTGTTTGTTATCATTTTCAATATTAGTTTGCTCGTTATCATTTTCACTATTAGTTTGTTTGTTATCAATATCAATATCAATATTACACTACTAGAAAAACAGCCTTTTACGGCGCGCAATGCGTGTTGTAAAACGCTCAGACGACGCGCAAATGCACATCAAGGAAGACCCTGTCATAACGAGAGACGACACGCTTTTGTGCGTCGTCTATAAACGACGCACATTTACGACGCGCATTTATGACATGCAATGCGTATCATTAAAACCCCTGTCAAGAAAGGTCATGTCATAAATGAAGATGACACACATTTTTGCGTATCGTAAATTTAAATGTTTAAAAAAATATTTATATATTTTTTAATTTTTAAATTAAATTTGCATTTAATGTCTCATAATAGAAATAAAATATCATATACAAAAAATACAATTCGTTGCATAAAATTTAATGTCATACAATTCTATTTCTTACAATATATAAATTTGCATTCATCTAATCTACTCTGTGTTTCATACTAACAATTGAAATGAAGAATGCAACACTTGCATTTGCAGCATCTTATCTCTTTCAGCTTGAGCTTTCTTTTCCTCTTCTAACTCCAGAGCTATCCGCTTTCATCAACCCTGTAAACACAACACAAAATCACTTGTCATTTTCATTCTACTTTTAAAATTAATTCTTATTAGGACTTTCTACTTTTAAACCTACCAATCTAGCAAAATTTTCAAAGAATATAATTTATAATTTTTTTTATGGAAAGTACATTGCTATTTCTTGAATACAAGATGTTACAAATCAAGAAACTTACATGGACTGTTGACCACCAGTTTCCTGCATCATCTGAGTATATAAGTACTCACTAACTCTCTGGTTTGCCAAAGTAACCTATTTCACATCAAATTAAAACTTATTTTAATCAAATTTGTATTACTACCCAAGTGAATTTGTCTATGTTTCTTTTCCCCTTTCCCACCATGAACCTGCAAGACACGAGACATCAAATAAATCAAAATTAAATTTTGATTTTTTTTCCTTTCAGTAACAATTAACAAAAAACAAAAGGCCAACCCACTCCCTTTGCCTCATTCCACCTAACCCACTCCCTGAAAACAAGAAAAAAATAAAAAAGTATCAACCAACATTTTACTTATATTTGATAGGTTTTCATATTGATTTGTTTATTTGTTAATAAATAGTTTACATACTACACCTATGGTATGGATCCATTATAAGTAGAATTGTATAACATAAAAAAATAAAAAAAATATCAACCTAATAACTTGCATCATATGGTATGGATCCATTATAAGTTAACACAAAAAATAGGAAAAAAAGATAGAAATACCCCTCTCCATACCAGCAAAACCAACCAAACTGAATAAAATTATGACATAATCAAAATCATGTATCTCACCTTTGAAAACATATAACTTAAGAGGTGCTAAACACAAAGCTTCCAAGATAATGAAGGGTATTTATGTCAATCTCTGAGCAGCCTGCTTAGCAAGAACCCTCTCTTTTGCTTTGGTTTTAGCCTGTGATTTTGACCCCATTATCGCACCACCCCACTTCTTTCTGTACACATCATACTTATCATTGAAATTGGCTTGAAACAAACAACAAAAATTCATTCATCATATCATAATCAACCATAAAATTTTCCATAAAATCTTTAAATAAATAAATTTTATAAAAAAACATATACCTTGATGGCTTCCAAGATTCTGCTGAACTCCATCTTATCTTCATTCTTGACTGTAGTCAAGCACATAGCTGTTGCAGTTTTCTGATGAACAATCTGGCATAACATCCACAATAAACATGTTAACTCAAGCAAAACAATCAAAGGGTATTTAAGTAAAAACACTTACAGTTCCCAAACGAGATTTTCCCTTCACAGATGCATCTTTCTCGTTTTCTTTCTCCAAAAAAACTCTAAATTGGTGTTAAGGTAACATCTTCATTTCATCACCACACAGGTTGTATGATCAGAAGGACCTGAAGGAAAATGCAAAATAAAGACAATAAACAACTGAATCCAAAAGGTATTAATGGTATATGGAAAAAAAACAGTAGATATACTTTGAGAAAGGAAGTATGAAAATACAGAACCTAGAAGAATGAATGTCCACACATTGTCATAGAATCTGTATGTGTGTAAATGCCCCTGTCATTATATAAACCAAATCATCAGCATCCATACACCAAGGGTATAATCGTCATTTAACTCTTACATGCTTAAGCCAAAGCCTAAGACTGAATGTATCAAGATATTAACTCTTTACCTTATGTAACTTATCTCATGTTCAAATTGATGATATTATGAAATTTGTTAACTGGAATGTAAAGGGTATAATGGTCATTTTCTCTCCACACCAGAATTAAAGAGATGAAAATTATTTACCTTAATAGAGACCTTGGTCTTAACCTAATTGTCCAGAGCTTCAGCCATTGACTACAACCAATGAAACATGAAGTGATAATGATATCTCATAGATTAAATAATCATCAAAACACATACTACCTTCACACTGAATTAACACATAGTTAAAAAAGAAGAAGAATAAGAAGAAGCTCTGAAGAGTTAAAAGACCTTATCAAACTGAACAAGAACTTGAATAGCAAGCTCAGGACCAAGAATCCCACTTGATACCATCTCATCCAAAGTTCAGTCAAGCACCTTATTCATGATTCTAAGATAGTGGCATGTGAGTCAGTTACATAGATATTAAAGAGAAGAATTTGGAGAAGGGTGAATCGAACACCTTATTCTTTTTGTCTAATTTACACCTTACCCAATCATTTGAAACTCAGATCCATTGGTGTATGCATGACTATCTCGCATCATTGATTTATCACTAAGACTCATAATTAGGCATTACAATGTGATACTAGGTTGCCGCCTCCAGCTCCTCTGCATATGTAATCTAGAAACTGAAAGTATTAGGCTTAAAATTGATATGTAAAAGATGAGAAGATAGATGAGAATATGAGAAGATAGATGTACCCTGGCATTAAAATTGATACAAACCTTTGTTGGTCAAGTATGGATGTTTGATATGGGTGTTCTGGTCATCAATCTCGTTTTCTTGATTTGTCAGACCATTTGTTGATAGACTCATGCCTGCTGCTAGGTCGGAATGTTCAGATGGAGCAGAGTTAACCCTGCCTCCGGCGGCAGGAATGCGAGGGTTAGTTAACCTAGCCACGATTTGAGGTTCGGGAGTGGTGCTTCTAGACAAAGAACCACCGAGTGCAGATGCGTAAATAAGAGAAGCTGATGACATCGTGTGAGGATGGTTTGGCTCGAAACGTAAAGCTTACATGGAAACCAGATCTTGGTGAAAGACCAAAATATGCAAAGAAATAGTGTGTTCGTCGCCCCTTACGTGTTTTGAACTAGGCGAGAGGGATGAGATGGAAATACGAGAGTGAGATAGAAAAAATTAGGGTCGGATTTAGGAACCCTAAACCATCGGCTCAAATTGATAACTGGGAGGTAAGAACCTTAAATCCTCAGCTCATTAAGGTCGAATTAAGAGTGTAAGAGCTTGTTGGAACCGAGAATTAGGTTTTTGGTGGAGGTGATGGATCGAGGAATTGAGGAAGCTATGGATGAAGACGAAGGCCCTAATTCGAAGAGGCGGGGAATTTTTGGGATGAATAGGCGGGGGTTAATTTTTTGGATTTCATTTCTCCCCCTAAAAACGCGTGTTTCCTTAAAAAAATATAAAGTGACACAGTTACACGACACACATTTTTTGATAGGTGCCCTCTGTATTTCTTTTTTTTCTTTTCTGACACTAATTTTAGGGCACGCAAAAATGTGTGTCCTCTATCCTTCAAATTTTGGAAAACTGACATTAATTTTTAGGGCACGCACAAATGCGCGTCCTCTATCAGTGTGTGTCATTAATTGGGCGTCGTAAAAGGCTATTTTTCTAGTAGTGTTAGTTTGTTCATTATCATTTTCACTATTAGTTTGGTCGTTACTTTCACTATTAGTTTATTTGTTATCAATATCAATATTAGTTTGTTCATTATCATTCTCGATATTAGTTTGTTCATGATCATTATTATCAACATCAGTTTGTTCTTGTTCATTATCAACATTAGTTTGTTCTTGTTCATTATCAACATTTTTGTTTGATGTTAAAATTTTTTAAAATGATCATTTTTGTGATTCAATAAAAGTTTCTTGTTGCATTTTCCTTTTCCTTTTTAAAGCCCCTGATTCGTATTTTCTCTTTAAAATGATTATTATGTATTTTATTAATAATAACAATGAACAATCACCAAGACAACTATTATAAGTATAGAAGATATGTATTAGAATTATACCACCCCTGAGATAATGGAAATCTCAAATCTGGAAAACTGAAAACTCAAATTCGTTCCAACCTGATTCACTGATTGTATATTCTGTATGTTGTAATCAATGAACAATGGAAAAAAATTAGATAACTGAACAAATAAGAAACTGAAATCTGAAAAGTATTAACTAATAAGTAATAACTATTAACCCTAATCAGCTTTAAGATTAAGTATTAACCCTAATTAGATAATCATATGACATCATGACAATGGAAAAATAAAAACTGTATCTGTACAGAAAAATAAAAACTCTATCCTGATGGCATGAAAATAATAGTTATTACTTATTAGTTCATACATTTTTCAGTGAAATTTGAAAATAATTTCATGGCATTTGACTACAAGACTACAAGTCTACAATACAATCATATGACATGGAAACAAGTTAACAAGATTAGAAGAAGAACAAATGGATCATGGAACTTGGAAGAAGTTGTATATTACCGTTTATGGAGAAGGCTTCAATGGAGAAGGAAGAAACGACTTCAATGGAGAAGGAAGAAGCCGAAGAACAGATGGAACTTGGAAGGAGCCCTGTGTCGTGAATCAGAAGAAGAAGAAGAAGATCAAGTCGAGCACAAAATCTGTATGCAGAAATCAGAATTGAAGAATGGAGAGGAAGAAGATCAAGCGTCGTTATTATTTTTTTTTTGTTGCGATTAGTTTAGCCGTTTAGCGCCTTAGCCGATTAGGGAATAGGGATATACTACATGGACTCCTTGGTTTGTGGGGGCCTAAGCCCTAACTTTATTTCAATAAGCATAAGGCTGACCCTATATACATACCCAATAAAAAAGAAAAAACAATATATTAATGTGGATTACAGACAAGGGTTAAAGGTTATGGAAACAAAAGTTGTTATTTCTTAATTTTTGGGTAACTATAAATTAAACAACTACTTAAATAACCTAAATACAACAAAACACACACGACAACCCTATTATTTATACATTAAAAAATGAAATGTTACAGACTAGTTCATCGCATTCCGAATCATCCGTATTTCAAACTATTATTTTTTTTACTTGTTTAACTACACTAACTTGGAAATGAAATACTCTCTCCGTCCCAAAATTATAGTCCAACTTTCCTTTTTGGTTTGTCCCAAAATAATAGTCCGCTTCTAAAAATAAATAACATTTTTACCAAAATACTCCATCATTATTACTTAACCATCTAAGCATTTAATGGAACATTAAATGCAAAGTAAGGACAAAACTGTCATTTTATTGTATAAAGTTAGTAGTAATTAATGTTTCCTTAATCTGTGTGTTTTTTTGTCTGTGGACAATAATTTTGGGACGGAGGGAGTACGTAGATTCAATGGTTATATTTATAAAATATGAATTCTATATTACTTTGTGTAATACTAAAAAAACCATGCCTTATTTATGCAAATATCCCTTTAAATATTTCTACGTTGATTTGATTATGTTTTAGACTGTTCCCATCTATTCTAACACTAATAATTTGACAACTAAAACAATATAAAAAGACTTGTACTCTTTCATAACCTACCCGTACAAACTGTGTAATACGTGTGTGTCTTGGCGGCAGCTAGCCGGAACAATGCCAAATTAGTGTAGGGCCCGAAACGCCTGCCACCGCCCGACCACCCTTTATCTGTCCGTATTAATGAAATCTTGCGAAATCTTTGACTATTTTATTATCTCTTTCTTGGTCAACTAAATTACAACTCCAATAATCGAGTATAAAGTATAAATGTCTCTTTTATCACATCCCAATAATTATAATACTTTATATCAATATAATATAAAAATTACTAGTTACACATTTATTATATAACTTTATTCTCCACACGCGTTGCTCGCATTGGTTTAATATATAAATAATGGAGATAAAATAAGTTTTAATTTTGGTCTAAGTGTGCCGTACTAGAAAGACAACCTGCATGAGTGAGTGCACGTGCAGCTGGATTCCAATGGACCAATAGTACGAATCCTCTTTTTTCAATATACGGCGAAGGATAAAACAAAATTTGTCTTTTGGGTCTTCGTCGGCAGATATACAGATCATTCGGTCAACCAGGTAGCATTGAAATTATTGACAAATTCTGTCGACACATAGAAAAAGATAATCTAAGTAACAAGAACTTCATTTTTATAGCTTTTTCAATATAAACATGTAAAATAATGATCATAAGCTAATATGAAACTAGATATTTCATAGATCGATAGAAGCCTTAAACAGAAAATAAATGAATGTGTTCGTGTGATGCACAGATTTGTGTGAGCAAAAATGGAGTAGAAATAATGCATCAAACATATTTATTTGACCAAACTTATGTTTATTTTATTGTTTTGTAATTTTTAAGTTCAAATCATGTTTTTCTTGATTTTCAACTACGAAATGTCATCGGTGTAGATTTATAATTTTTGAATTAAACAAACTCAAGAATGTATATTAGCTTATTATTCGATTTGGGATTAAATCAGTTTACATTTATCAGGTTTCGATTTCATTCTTTTTGTTATATATTTTTTTGTGCACACAACTACAACTTATATTTGGTCAGTTTTGGGCACCTTCTTTTTTGGGTTTCAAATGTATGGGCTATTGGGTAAACTCGTTAGAGACCAATAAAGAAGCCCATGTTAATATAGAAGCTAGCCCAAAAAAACTTTCTATAAGGTTTCTAAAAAGGTTATTTATAGAAAAATCACATGATGAAGATGAAGGCCTTCTTTCTTAGTTTGTTATAGATCCTAATTCGTAATAATAAAAAAAAACAAATGATAAAGCCCATATATGTGGTTATTTATAGAAAAACCCTTACGTTTTTTTTCTTTTGATTGTCCATAAATGTTATTTTTTTAAAACAATTTTGGACTTTGGGTTGACCATGAAAATCATGCCAAATAGTCGGTTTTGTAACAGTGTCGGAGACCACATGTTTACCTGTAAAAAAATATTCCTATTATGATAAAAATTGTTGAGTAGGATCGATTGACTCATTACTAAGGTCAAAACTGACCCTTAATTAACGAACATTCAATCATATTCTTTTTTTTCTTCAAGGCTTCTTCATTGATGAGGGAAAATACCGGCAATAGTTAAAAAATGGGGGATATTTTCAAAATTTAGACATGAAAATGGACATTTCCAGATATAGACATGAATTCCACGGAGATAGCTCCGCGGAATCTACTGTAGCTCCGCGGAATGGCAAAATCGTAAATAAATCAGTGTAATAAAATAAAAAAAAAAAAAAAAAAAACTCAAGATTCATTCCACAGAGCTACCTCCGATGAATGAACTCATTCCGCGGAGGTAGCTCCGAGGAATGGATCTTCAGATTTTTTTTTTCACATCGATTCTCCGTGGTTTATATTAATTCCACAACTAATTATTTTTAAGAAAAGATTATGATAGTATGATAATATTTTCTTGAAAACTATTAGTTGGGGAATAAATATAAACCCCGAAGAATCGATGTGGAAAAAAGAAATTTGAAGATCCATTCCTCGGAGCTACCTCCGAGGCGGAATGAGTTCATGCCTCGGAGGTAGCTCCTCGGAATGGATCTTTGAGTTTTTTTTTTTTTTAAACACTGATTTATTTACGATTTTGGCATTCCGCGGAGCTACCTCCGCGGAGTCCATGTCTATACCCGGAAACCCAATTTTTTTGTGACTATATTTTGAAAATACCCCCATTTTTTGACTATTACCGGTATTTTCCCTTAATATGAAGGTATAAGAATTCATTTGGCATAAACGGAAGTGGGGACGTGATTAAATGTGGACGTCAGGACCTGATGTCGAATCTAGGATATCCATTTTGAAGGATTAATCATTTGTTAAATACGAAAATATAAAATTTGTGAGAATCCAATGAGAGAATTCTCAACCAATCATTTTATTAAGGACGAAAATGTAAAACTTAATTCTTG